TCTAAGACGGGCACTTTGCCGTATGGAGTTGACGGTTTAAATTTTGGCCAATCTTCCCTTGAAAAACGGAAGTCCTCGTATTCTTTACCAGCAGCCGACAAAAGAATTCGAGCTACTTCTGCCCTTGCCATTCCGTCGAAGTAAATAAGTCGAATTTTTGCATTTGCCATTTTTTTTTCTAAGCTGTTAAAAAAAAAGTATAAATTAAAAATGGTACAGTTTTGTTAACGTATGCTAATAAGCTTCAACGAATAAGGCGTTGAAAAAAGGACACGACACACAATGTATTTAGGCAAATGTAATGCTGAATTATCTAAATAAAAAATAGTTAACAAAGATAATGGCTCTTGTCAGCGTATCGAAACAGCCGTTCCCATTTATTTACTTTGCGACACCACCCCATATATTAGATAGAGTTCAGCAGTTAAAAACTAAAGCCCATTTAAGTCTCGCGGTAAACTAGTTCAGGGTAGATTAAACAGATGGAAGTGTTTTAAATTTGTTGAGTGAATTTAGATTATTCCTTTCAGAAGTTTTCCCCTGTATAGAATCTTGTGCAAGAGCAGTTAGTTATAATATAATGGTGGACTTAATTTTGCTTTCTGATGTATGCACGATAACTGTATCGATAACCATTCTGATATGTATAAAAAAAAAAGTAACGAGTGAAGAGACACGGCTTTTAACTAAAACAGTTACTATAAAATTAATATGTGGCCAGAATGTTTCAAAACAATCTCTTTCAACTGCAGGCAGTGCTTCTTCCAGACTTATTTCTCGGGGGGGGGGGGGGGGGGGGGTCGGTAGACTTTCTTCGGGGGTGGGGGGGGGGGCGGACACTGTTAAACGTATATATCCCCCCCCCCCCCCCCCCCCCCCCCCCGAAGAGATGCCTGGAAGAAACTCTTGTCAACTGTAGTAAATCACACAAAAAGCCATTGGTTATCTAAAATCTAGTGACATAATAATTTCTAAATGAGCATAGTCAACAAACTACTCATTTGATATCGTGACAAAGTTATAGGTTTCTTTTAATATTTTTAAAAATGTACTACACTAATAACAAAACGTAGTTGCCTACGGAAACAGTTATGCACGAAATATAACTTAATTATAAGAATTTAATCACAATCTTTCTCTGTCTTTTTTTTTTAATGTGCTGAAACTTGCGAGTAAATTTCGACCACGTCTACCGGACCGATTTCTTCTAAACTTGACACGTTGGTCAACACTTGTTAAATTTCGTCTTTTTCTAAAATTTTGTAACCATTTTTTAAATTTGTATTATCAACAAATAATGCTAGAAATTAGATCGATAGATCTAGAAAATACCAGAGATACAGCCCAGCTGTATTTTAATCAAACATATACTTTGCTATCAGTAGTCTAAATCCAACTGGAAAATGTTGATATGTTAAAAAAAAGCGAAAGTATGCATAGTCTACTTACATTTCGTACACAACGCGAGATAATTCAATAACTTTGTGAATCGCTGGCGTCTTGGTCGTCAAGAAACTGGAAGTAACTCTGGATTTTTTCGACTGCGCTCGGCTTGTGTGTTGTAATGTACCTGTCCGTTAGCGAACTGCGAGCTGTTACGTGCACATTTATGAAGGCTGGAAGGGGGAGGTGTTGTATGTGAAGCAAGGTGGCTGAGGGATGGTGGGGTAGAGTAGGTAGGGTATAAAGGTAGAAATTCAAATTGTCATTGTAAATTTCCCTAAGGAATCTTGGAAATAATACACATTCTACTGTTACCCTTTTTTTAAAAAAAGTATTATGATTATTTTACACACCACCACCCTCAAATAATACAACAACCCTCCCCGACCCCGCGTCCACAAACCTTGAGATAAACGATGACTATAATAACTGTTTGATTTTAACAAATCATTTGAAAGAAAAAAAATACAATTCTTTTTCATCAGAAAAATGACAAAGCTTTGTCTAGGGATTAAAAGGAAAAAAAAAACCAGTTATCCGCCCCTTCATATTGGGTGGTCGGCTTTCAGACGTGCAACCAACCATTCGTGACCTACAGAGTTTCTTCCAGGCATCTCTTCGGGGGGGGGGGGGGGGGACGGACGACGAAGGAGCCCGCCCCCCCCCCCCCCCACCGAAGAAAGTCTACCGTCCCCCGTACGAGATGGATTTTATATAGTAAACATACACTTTTACTAGTATCCGCCCCACCCCCACCCCCAAAAAATATCAAGTGCCCCCCCCCCGGAGAAAAAAGTCTGGAAGTAACACTGGTGACCTATAGTTCACCCGTCGGCTAGTTCTTAATCTTGGTATCTCGACTCTTGTTATGGAATTAAGTTATTTTTAATCAAATTTTAATTAACAATTTAATAAACATTAAATATTCGTGCGTTGTCACCAAAGAGATGATTGTGTCTGGAGAGCTTTTGAAGTGAGCGAGGATCAAATTCTCATGTCAAAATTGTTTTGTTTCGTATTTGCTGAGTTCATGAAAACAGATGAACTCCGCCTCGTTGTCAGGTTTGAAAAAAGTACTTTTTTACTTCACCCTTAACTTACACTGTTTTTACTAGAAGCGTGTGTGTGCATTAAGGAAATAATTGTAGGTCATGTCAGAGGCGTAGCTAGGGGAGGGCGGGGAGGGCGGCCGCCCCGGGCGCCGACCCTAAGGGGGCGCCAAAAGGGGTAGAAAAAAAAATTAAAAGCTCATTTTAAGCTGCAGTTTTGAATAATAAACAGTCAAAGTAAAGAAATTTAACGGCTGAGAGCCTTTGCATACTGATTTAACTGTTTTCTACCTTGATTGTAAAATAGTATATCTTTAAGAAACAGTGACTGGAAAACCGCTTTCCAGCTTTCCTAGATGGGGGGGGGGGGGGGAGAGGGCGCTTTTTCGAAGACTAAAATCGCAAAAATTCACACCGGATTAAGGAATAATTAACCGATATCACGCAGAAAAGAAACCCATTGAACTAAAGCGTATTTTACTATTGTCTAAGATGGTGGGGCGCTTTTTCACTAACAAAAATCGCAGGATAACTCTCTTAACACTTAGAAAAGAAATCAATTGTATTAACACTTAAATGTACGATTTCATTACCCAGTTTTGCTAAGTAATAACTCGACTAGTTCTTTGTACGATTCTTACGATTCTCTCAACTTGATCGTGAGAGATCAGATACTTTACTTGATTGCATTACATCTTGCCTGGATTATAGAGAAATAAATATAACGGATTCTTGTATCGCTATCCGATCAGTAAAATAGCAGACTGACGGAGCGGGTAGATGGGAAGCAACACTCTTTGCCAAATTTTTAAGAGAGAAGAAAATTAGTATATTGTACTGATTATTACTTTGTTCAATTTAACTGATAATTCAAAATTGCAATATTGGCCTACTATTATCGAAATTGTTCTAAAGACACGACCAAAAGAAGACCAAATAAGGTTTGGACCTTCTACAAAATACACTCAAAAGCAGTGGTTCTTAAATTTTTGGAGTACCGTACCCCACCAGTTTCATATGCGCAATCACCGAACCCTCCTTGTTGTATCGTCCACAATGACAAAATCCGATCGTGAATCCTATGAGTCGGGTGTGTGTCTTTACCTCCGCGGAAGTCCTGAGACTGAATTACCGAACCTCTTGGTTTCGATGGAGCCCACTGTTCTAAGCTCTTTTGATTTTCTACTTTTTATTCGTGTCGGCATCTAAGGGGAATTTGATTGGTGTCCAGTGAAGTTTTAGGGAACGACCATCAGCTTAATTGTTAATTTTTTACCAGACTGTCGCAAACACAAACTCACACGCATATATATATATATATATATATATATATATATATATATATATATATATATATATAAATAAATATATATATATATATATATATATTTATATATATATATATATATATATATATATATATATATATATATATATATATATATATATATATATATATATATATATATATATATATATATATATATATGGGGGGCGCCAAACTGAAAGTTCGCCCCGGGCGCCGGGAGGGATCGCTACGCCTCTGGGTCATGTGATGAAATCTAACAACACTGTACACAAGCTATAATAAATAATGATAAAAAGGAATAAGCAGTATATATATTTTTAATAAAAAGTGGTGCAAAAAAGTCAGGAGCAATGAAAATGCTGTCGTAATAATGGACACAACTTTCAATTAAAAGATATTTAGACCAGTTAACTCCCTCCACACTTTAGCAAGAAAGATGAATGTTGATAGCCTTGTGAGTTAGAGTTAGCGGTACAGCTTGAACTATAGTTAATATAAGCAACCATTGTTGAAACACGTGTCAAATAAATGTTGGCGTTCAACAACAAATCTGGTTCCTACCATTCTGTTTGTTTTCGGCTGGCCAGGTAGGCTGCTATCTTGTCTTGTCCTTTCACGAGTTCCAGATTCTTCTTCAGCAACGGGTAGTTGTCTGTTATTTCCAAGAGCGAGTTCATTGTGCCTGTGTTCAGATCTAAGGCTAAGATATCAGCTAAAGTGATGCTGTCTCCCACAAAGTAGCCTGTCCCGTTCTTTTTGAGATTTGCCTCGAGAAACCCCAAGTATCTTGGAGCATCTTCCTCTTTGAACTTCTTGATGCCCTCGTTCTTTTTCGCCGTATCGTTTGTATGGAACATCAAATCGATCGCCTTTGTGAAGTAGTCGTTGTACAACTGAACCAGTTCATCAATTTTGAAATTTTCCAAATTGTTCTTCCCGTAGAAGTTGAACTCGCGAGCTAAGAACGAGGAGATAGCGATGCTCTCAGCAAACATGACGCCGTCGACTTCTAAGGCAGGTGCCTGGCCGTAGGGAGTTGACGGTTTAAATTTAGGCCAATCTTCCATGGAAAAACGGACGTCTTCGTATTTTTTACCTCCGGCTGCCAAAAGAAGTCGAGCTAATTCTGCCCTGCCCTTGCCGTCAAAGTAAAGAAGTCGAATTTTTGCATTGGCCATGATTTCTAATCTGTAAAAAGTAAAATTGAAAAGTTACAGTTTTCTTAATTAACATGTGTCAATAAGCTTAAAGGAACTAGGCCTTAAACAAAGAACGACACGGCAATATTTTATTTAGATAAACGCAACGAGGAGTCTGAGTCCCCGATGCATGGAAGTATTTTCCTTTAAGTACCCTAACTTAGATATACACAGATAAATTATTGAAATGTTTTAATTAAGAAGTTGGTTTTTTTTTCTGGAGCCTACCCCCCCCCCCCCCCCATGCTGTAAAAAGTACAAATGTTTAAAAAATTATAGTTTTGTAAACATGCGCCAATAAGCTTAAAAGGAACTGGGCCTTAAATAAAGAACGACACGGCAATATTTTATTTAGATAGACGCAACGAGGAGTCTTCTGTAGAGTCCCCGATGCATGGAAATATTTTCCTTTAAGTACCCTAACTTAGATATACACAGATAAATTATTGAAATGTTTTAATTAAGAAGTTGTTTTTTTTTTCTGGAGCCTACCCCCCCCCCCCCCCCCCCCCCCCATGCTGTAAAAAGTACAAATGTTTAAAAAATTATAGTTTTGTAAACTTGCGCCAATAAGCTTAAAGGAACTGGGCCTTAAATAAAGAACGACACGGCAAAATTTTATTTACATAAACGCAACATGGGGTCTTCTGTAGAAGATAATTGTTGACCAATGGAATCAGTCGCCCTGAAACTAGTACGCTAATCACTAAATATGTGACAGACGCCCCCTTTTTACTTTTGTACCACCGCCCCATTTAATACAGTGTTCAGCAGTTAAAATCTACGGCCTATTTTACAAGCGTTTTGCATTAAACTAGTCTAGACTGATGACGTGATAAAGATATATAAACTGGTCATGGGCTTTTAAATTTTTTTTAATGGATCTAGATAAAAGAAGAAAAATAAATTCATGTAATAATAATTGAAATTTTTGTAATTATTGACGGTAATTGTAAGTAAACATGCTGATAAAAAAAAAAATTAAAAAAAACTAGTTAACACGAGACACTGACTTTTAACACAAAAATGCATATATCTACATAATAATTAAGTTAGTAAGGTGTTTAAAACCATCGCTCTGTCGGTAATTGTTAAGCACTATTCATTATAGTCACTAATTAGTCAGTAATCCAATATCCGAACGTTCCCTTTAAGCGAACAGTAGTAACGTTGACACTATAGTAACGTGACAAAGCATTTTTTTAAATTGTTATATTTTGAATATATTTATATTAGTACATACAGCCTACCAAAATTGCAGCTTAAAGTTGTGTTTAAAATTAAAGTCAGTCGAATGAAGAATTAACATGAGAATATTGAGATTAAAAAACACCAGCGAATACTTACTTAAGCTTTACTTACACGACGCTCAGTGACTCTGGTAGACGCGTCTCTAGTCTTGGGTGTCTATAAATGGGAAGTAACTCGGGGTTCTCCGAATTTGTCGCTAGCGAATGGCGAGCTGTTGCGTTAAACTGGTTGGAGAGGAGTGGGGAGGCTGAAAAATCTCAGGTGATTCAAACCCCACCACACCTGAGTTAAAATAAACAAGGAAACCCACAGGACCAAAGCCAGGATAATTTTATTTAGCTGGTTGAGTTAGTCCCCTTGCATCTAAAACATGTCGTTGATCTGTTCCCGATTACGGTCAATGCCACAACCCTAACTATATAAGTGATACCGGTAGGGGAAGAAACCTTGGTCTACTGCACAATGTTGCTCTGATAATGACATTACTAGTGACATTAAATGATGCTTTATCAGTGACATTATTAGTGACATTATCCGTTGCATTATTAGTGACATTATTAAGGACATTATTGGTGACTTAATTAGTGGCATTATTAGTGACCTTATTGGTGACATTATAAGTGACATTATCAGTCACATTATTATTGATACTATTAGTGACATTATTAGTGACATTGCTAGTGGCATTAGTATTGACATTGTTAGTAACATTATTGTGACATTGTTAGCGGCATTATTTATTGTATTATTAGTTTTATTGTTAGTGGCATTATTAATGACATTATTAGTGGCACGAGTATTGACATTGTTAGTGGCATTATTACTTCAAGTGTGCAGACGTACACACTAATATGTTAGCAAATGATATCCTGGATAAAACCTCAACCTTCTGGCAAAAGCTAGTTTTAAAGTTAGTGAGTAGAAGTATTATGTGCAGGATAAGGGCTCAGCTTAAAGTGGGGGTTTATTATTAGGGTTTGGTTTAGTGTTAGGGTTGGTATTTGTGTCATGCTTAAAGCTGATTTCTTTCTACTAACTACATAGTGTAGGCTGTATGACTCATTGACGAGTGCAGATAGCTGATTCAGTTCTAGTTACTAATGCCACATGCAGGCCAATGTATGACTCATTGACGAGTGCAAATAGCTGATTTAGACGAAATCATAACGCGCAATCTGTCACATTAATAATGTTTGATTTATTTATTACTCATGTCATAGAAAATCTAGTCTGGAAGATACATTATATTCATAAGTACATCCCTGTTCCATAGATTTTCCAAGAGGAAGGCGGTTCTGAGCCTCTAAGCACTCTCTGCCACCTTATGTATATTATATATATATATATATATATATATATATATATATATATATATATATATATATATATATATATATATATATATATATATATATATATATTTACTTAAAATATATTTTTATGGTCATTATTAGCCTAAAAATATAACCACAGAATCAAATGTCGCATTACATCTCAATAAGGCGCCTCCTTTCGCTGGGTCAGATAATCTGCGATCCTGTGATTTCCTCTGACCAGTTGAAGGTTCCTCTTCAGCAACGGATAGTTGTTGTTGATGTCAACAAACGTAGCTAGGGAACCCGTCTCTAGATCCAACAACACGATATCGGCCAGGGTTATGCCGTCACCAACAAAGTACCCGGTGTCATTGTTTCTCAGACTCCGTTCTAGAAAACCCAGCAGCTTTGGACTCTCCGTTTCTTTACAGTATTTGATGCCAGCATTCTTGGCGTCTTCGTCCTCCGTGTAAAACCAAAAGCGAATCACCGTGTTGAAAAAATCCCCGTACAAATGAACAATTTCGTCAATTTTAAAATGCTCCATGTTGTTTTTACCGTAGAAATTAAATTCCCGAGCTAAGAACTTGTATATGGCAATACTTAATCCGAACCTAACCCCGTCGACTTCCAAAACTGGAACTTGACCGTACGGTGTTGTGGGCTTGATGCGTGGCCATTCTTCCATCGTGTAACGGACGTCGTCATATTCTTTTCCAGCCGCGGCTAGAAGAAGTCGAGCTATTTCTGCTCGTCCTCTGAAGTCAAAGTAAATCAGCCGAAGTTTCGCATCGGCCATAACTTCTAGACTGCTAGAGTGTAGAATACAAATAAATAATAAATCTAGCTGTTAGGGAGATTATAATAAAAAAAATGAAACGGATGTAGCTGGCTATTGTGTGAGAATATGGAATTAAATATGGAATTAAAGTAGCATATTACATCTATGCAGGTAATGAAGAAGTGGTAGAATCTTGTAATTTCGGCGTGGTCCTCCTGGGGAACGATCGCTTAGGGGTCGTCCATAAATGACGTCACACTCGTAGGGAGGAGGGAGGGTCCGTAATTTTGTGACGGTGTGTAATGAGGGGGAAAGGGGGGGGGGGTCAGATGGTGTGACGTCACTTTTTTGCATTATAAAAAAGCAATGTTAGAAAACGAGTTTTTTCCGTTATTTCTCGTTTTAGAAAACGGTTTTAATAAATTGTAATAGGAATTGATCAAAATACTCTATGTTGACAGAGTTCTGACAAGATTTTGGAAAAATATCGATGTTTTAAGAAAAATTGAACAGCAATTTTGAGAGGGGGGGGGGGGTGTTGGCTGAGGTGTAAAAATCGTCCAAAAAAGCGTGACGTCATTTATGGATGACCCCTTACCAACCCGAAAGTCATGGGTTCAGAACCTGGGCTTATTAGATTGTACTTTGCCTGAAATGTTCTACACATCCGAACCAGGTGGTGCGATTCACCGGCACTATGATAAGAATCAAAAGCCTGGCGTTTTACATTTATCTAGAAGACTATGTCGTTTCTTATAAAACCGCCAACAGAGTTTAAACCTATCGTATAGCATGCGGTGTTTGTACTTTCGGTATCGCCCGTAGGGCCCGTGTTTAGAATTGAATTCACTGTCACCGAAACGGTTAGCATTACGGTTCGTATCGTGACAAACGGACAGTCCACAAAATGGACCATAGTTAAGTTATTGTTACTGAACCTTAACACGTCATGTAGACACTCTAACTAGCGATAATGTAAAAACTGCAATTTAACAAGTTAATTAAAAATGTACATGATTGAAGTCAGCAAACACAAACACTTACGTTTTCTAGGTCCCTCGGTGGCACGCTGTCCCAGAAAGTCTGTCCTATATTCCAAACTAAGCTCTCTAAGCCCTAAAGCCTATAAGCGTTATGTTTACCGTCGCAAGTTTTTAATAACTGTATTATAAACACGGTAAGTAAAACCTCACTACCGAGACGTCGCACGCTCTCCCACTTATCGGAGGCTAGAGCTCTACGCTTGTCTCTTTGTATAAACAATGGCAATAAAAGTTTTTGTTTTTTACTGAATCTTTTCAATTAAAAATAAACCTACCTCTAATGTAGTAGATTATCATTAATCTGGTTTAAACATATTCAGTGGCGTCGCTAGGTCGGGTGTCACCCGTTGCGGCACCTATTGGCGTCACCCCCTTTGCCATACAGGCATTTTCCTACTATACATTTTCCAGTATTTTGTCGTGGTGTCAGCCCCCCCCCCCTAAATGGTGTCGCCTGGTGCGATCCGCACCCCTCCCCCACCGCCTCGCGACGCCTCTGAACAAATTAAACGTATTCTACAGCTCTTTTACTTTAAACCAGTAACCGTAAATTACAGATATTTGGAATTTCAATAAAACCGTTTTTTGCAATTATTGTTATTTTAATTATTTTTAGTTTAAAAAACATATTTTTGACTGAAATTACTTTTTAAAAAATAATATACAATTTTAGATTTTATTCGTACATTGCAATAGCTCTTTAAAAAACGCGATAAGTAGTAATAAACATGTGCTACTTCTGCAAAAACACGTGGTGCTTCATGTGACCACGTGTAAGACATTGCTACATGACGTATATTTTAACAACTAGACAATTGTTTATAATTACAGTTGATTTTAAAGAAAACAAACCCATACATTTCTTTTCTCTACATCAGTAACATTCAAAACGTATTACGAATGCATATAGTTATCACAAATGCAATTATCGTCTCTTGTTTGGGTTAATTAACCATATCCTTGCTAAATTGAGTCAGAACATGGTATTGTTGACTTAATAATGGAGATTATCTTTCATAAGGTTTTAAGTAGACCAACATTTAGAGTTTATTTTAAAACAACCATTTCAATGATTCATTGTGGCAGTGTTTATTTATTTTAGATGACAAGACACGACATGTTGAACCAAATTTATTTCAACGTACAAAAAGCTATTACAATTCTATAATGTTTAATACAGTAGTAATCTAAAAATACATTGTTTTTTTTTTAATGCGGAGTTATCGGCCGTGTTGCCATGTGACGCGCTATCCCAGGAATAGATCGGACCATCTCTATGTTTTTCTGCAAAAGTGGATACGCCTCAGTGACGTTCAGAAACTCGGCTAGCATTCCAGTGACCGCGTCAAACACTGCGACGTCTGCCAGTGTCATTCTGTCTCCCACGAAAAATCCCGTGCCAGATTTTTGTAGATTTCCTTCCAAAAACCCCAACAACCGCGGGCCCGTTTCTTCGATGAGTTTTTTCCTTTCTGCTGCTCTTACGTCATCCGTCTTTGGGTAGAAAATGTTCGACACACACGCGGCGAAATAATCTTCAATCAAATGAATAATTTCGTCGATTTTAAAATTTTCTAAATTATTTTTCCCACTGAAACCGAACTCGCGAGCCAGGAAGGAATTGATGGCCAAACTTTGAACGAATTTGGCACCATTTACTTCCAACATTGGTATCTGGCCATAGGGTGTTGACGGCTTGAACTTGAGCCATTCTTCGTCCGTCATACGAATGTCTTCATACGTCTGCTCCGCGGCAGCCAGCAGAAGTCGAGCTACTTCTGCTCGGCCCTTGTTGCGGAAGTAGAAGAGCTTCAGTTCTAGGTTAGACATGGTGGATCTGGAATTATTGGGGAAAAAACAACAACAGATCAAAACATAATTTCGAGATGTTTGATAACAGTTTATGCTCTTGTAAAATAAGAATCCTAATGTTTACAAGTATATTGGCGTCGAAAAGCGAATTGAAATACACGTAACTAAATTGGCTGGATACGTTCGTAAACAAAAGACAAAGATGGACGTGCTTAAATTTAGCTCTAATTATTTGTAATAAAATATCGTGAAACACATTTACCCCCCCCCCTTTTCCCCCTGTCTTCACCAGAAGTCAGACCCATCCACCCCAAAAACGACGGCACATATTAAAATATCTATGAGTATGTACGTAGAGGGGAGGAGCGAAGAGGGGTGTTGAAGGGTAGCACCCCACCACCCTCTCATTATCATCATTTCCTGTTCGTGCCCAAGAAACATGGGGCAGATGAAGTAGAGCTCATCTGCTTCAGGGGCCTCGACATATGAAGCGATAGCATGATCAGCACTATGCCCAGCCACCTTTGTTTCCCTAACGTGAGTTAGGTACCCATCAAGGCTGGGTGGACTCAACTGGGTTCCACTGATTTGAACCCTGATTCGAACTCGAGACTCTCAGGTTAGCAGTCTAGCTCTACCGCTAGCCCCCCATCCCCCCACCCCGCCCCCTACTTGTAAAATAAAACAATGTTCGCCCCTTGTTACGCATTGTATCTTCTTGCCAATTGGTAACAAAATAAAATACACTTTCTTTTGTGTTTGTTTCCTTATATATGTAATTGTATCTATTGAAGACACTGGCAAAAATATTAACTTTGAAAGCGTTTATTGTAAAAAAAAAAATTCACTTTTATCGGGTCTAACGGACAGGACATTAATAATGATAGCTGAATTGCTAAATAACCATCTTGTTAGCTAGCTAAACCTGTTTCTTTTTTTAACTAGCTATAAAAGAACATGATATCCTGAAGTAACCCAATGAGGTCACACGATTCTGGCGTCGACACGCTACTCAGAGATCGTGGAATGTGACTTCACTTGAGTCTTGACCTAGTTGCAGAGTCACTGACGCGAGAAGTGGAGCCAAACCAGGCTTCAGTGTAGGGCCTAGTCATATATATATATATATATATATATATATATATATATATATATATATATATATATATATATATATATATATATATATATATATATATTCTCTACTTTCCTTGCTATCATTTTAAATAAGGAACATTCACCAAATAAGTGCCAAGGGGTCGCTCGCCCCACTTCCACCCCGCTCCAACTACGCCATTATTTGTCTTTTCTGTTTCGTCTATAATTTAGTTTATACAAACAACAAAATCAGAAATTTCCATTCGCTTCCTTCTAATGGAAAAAAAAAATATTGCGAGACTTCATTCAGTTTAGAAAATAGAAAGACGTAACAAACAGTTGAAAGTAGAAATGTCCAAGTAAGAAATGGTTAAAAGTAGAAATGTCCACGTCACAAGTAACAAAAGGTATAAAACTCCATGCAACTTACCACGTGTACACCAGATAGCGAGATACAGCTGGTGCGGCCGTCAACGAGAAACACGCCGACCTGCCTCGGTACACACCAGTCTTTGCACTGGTTCAAGGTTACCCAAGCACGCCATGCCTTACTTTCTGCCCACCCTCGTGATATGTTCTGATAGCTGGCATGTTTCATCATTTCTTCCTTTTTAAAAATATGCGGACGGACTAGAAGTCGGTGGAATGATGTAGGGATCTTGCAGTGCTAGGTGGACCGGAATGCACTCGGAACTCTTTGCATTTTTAGGGCCCCAAAATCCTTTATTTAGCTATAAACGTATGTTAAGTCTTTCCTAAAGGAAAACGGGAAATGTATTTGTTAAAATTCCTCGAATAATATAATATGGTGCTCACACATTCAGATATTCTAACAGACAATTAGCTTTAGACTTAACCTATTACAACGCTAAACCAATAGTGGCGTATTGGCTTTAGACTTTACGTTTTAGAACGCTAAACCAATGGTATCCAAAAAAAATGTAAATGCAATGTTTATATTGGCTGAACCAGTTTCATAAATCTTCCGTGAAGGTTATTAAATCCACCCCTCCCCCGTCATTTGGGCGGGGGATAATGTAGTGACAAACGGCATATAGATCGGGGGTGGGGGGGCGGATAGTTAATGATAAGGGCAATGTCCTGCTCGCGTATTTATAAACTATTCAAAGCACATTTTGTAAATTCATCTAATTATCAACTTTCCATAGATTTGTATACAAAAGATCACTGAATAAAACCAGTCAAAAAAGTTTGACAAACAGTTTATCCACTGTTTGCGTTGTAAGATCGGCGCCAGGGTCCCCCCCCCCTTTCACCATGAAGTACTAGCCATACAAGACACCTATTCGAGTGTTTATCTGCTAACTCCAGCGGTACAAAAATAGACCAAGGTTTTTTAAGATACCCTTGGCTGTCTCTTGGGCACTTTAGACGTAGTTTATATAGGCTACATTCTAAGGATAAGACTATATCAAAACTGCATAATTCACATTATATATATATATATATATATATATATATATATATATATATATATATATATATATATATATATATATATATATATATATTTCTTTTTGTATAGACACATCAGTTTTTGACATCAATTTGCACCTTTGTCAAATAAAAAAAAAAATCAAACCCTATAAAAACAAGGATAATCTTTTTAATAACAGTAATTTTCTATGCATGGGGTAACCCAGACATTAGCCATAGATAAACTGTCTAGTTATCGAATTAACTGTATAATACACCACGCCCCGTGGTTGTTGGATAGTGTAGTGAATTTGTTAGAAATCAGTCAATTGTGCTTAGTAGGGCAAGAAGAAAAATTCATATCTTAATAAATAGTTGTTATTATAGCATGAAAATTGGATGAACTATTAGGCCAAGCTTGATCTTTAATTAGAATATCTTAGTGTTAGTTAGGAGCAATCCGATATTATTGAAATCTACTTTAATTAGGTGTATTTGATTATATGTTTACAATATTTGCATGCTTGAAGTATTATTGTTGAAGAACAACTTATTGATGTTTATTGTAATTGGTATCATTGTAAAGGGAATTGTCTGTGGTTTCAGAGGATAAGCTTATTAGAATTTTAGGAGATCGCGTTAAGTTTTTATATAGGGTTATTTGGGGTCGGTTAGCACAAAAGCGGGGGAAATTTTCACAGGTAAGCGTTAGAATTCGTGCCAAGAGCAAGGTGTCATCCGAGACGCTCGCGGGTGGGGTATATAAGCCGGTGCGTTAGCCTTAGAGGGGATGGAGAAACGACGGCCCTAGCCAGTAATTTATGCAGCACACGTATTGGCGCTATAGTCTTGTTAGATGCGCGCTACACAGACAATTCCCGCTCAAGAAAGATAGTCAAATAAAGATTTGCAGAAGACGGCTTATTCTTCATTCTTGATCGTCTGTGACTGTGACTGAGAGTGAGAAATAGAAGAGAAGAAGAACGTTACAATTGATAGAAGCAAGAATATTACAATAGAACAGTACATTTGAGAGTAGTAAAAACGTTACATTTGGTGGCAGCGAAAGAAACGATCTTTAACACGCAACCAGAGAGACTGACAGCAGGCCAGTTAATACAGAGGACAAACATGGCAGAGATTGAACTACAGGCTCAAATAAGAAACTTGCAAGAAACGATTAAAGAACTCAGAATCGCTAGACAAGATGAGCGACCATTAAGTATGAACCAGGCGTTACCACAATACGACGGGTCAGCGCCATTTCAAGTGTTTTGGAACAAATTTCAAGCAATATCTCGCATTAACAGCTGGAATGAAGATAGACAGCTACTGCATCTACCAGCTTGTTTGGAGGGGAGTGCGGCCAACTTTGCATTTCTTGAACTCACTCAAGTTGACCGAGCAACGCTTGAAACGTTTGTCGCAGCACTGAGCGCGAGATTTGACACCAGGGTGGGGACCGCTACACATCTGACCCAGTTAGAAAATAGAAAGATGTCAGCAAGGGAAACAACCGCTGAATATACGTCCGATGTGAAACGACTGACGGCCATGGCTTTCCCGTCAGCTGACCAAGCAACTAAATCAACAGTTGCACTGCGCTATTTTCTCAAGGGGCTACAAGATCCTCACCTCGCGGGTATCATTGCAGCCCAGCGCCCAGTTAGCACAGATGAGGCCAGAAACATTCTGGACGAATACCTCAGTGCTAGAGACAGCACAACAAAAACAAAAATGTGTTCGGTGCAGGAGCAGAGCCAGATAGATAGCCTACAGCAGGAGGTGAAAAGACTACAAGAAATGGTCAGTAATCAACGTAGGCCCAGCGACTCGGGATGCTACACTTGTGGGGGCAGACATTTGGCTAGGAATTGCCCAAGAAATAGTAGATTTCAAGAAATGAACCAACGTCGGCCAACTAATAGAAACAATTATCAAGCCCGGCCGACCCAAGCTACAGCCAGAATCAATGAAGTTCAACAGAGTGTGGCAGGCAACTCAAACGACGAAAATTCTTTAAACTTCTAAAGGCCGCGCCAAGCAATAAAGAAATGGGCGTGGCCAGAGAGACAACGGTTTCAATCCGAAGTGCTACTCATGGGTTTTCGGTATTGGTGTCGGTGACAGTAGCAAATAATTCTATGATGTTTTTGGTAGACACGGGCGCTGCTGTCACTGTCATGTCCACAAGAGCCTTCAACAAGTTACCACAAGCCAGTAGAAACAAACTTCAACCTATGGACAAGAAGGTCACACTGCAATCTGCAGGGGGTGACAGAATAAACTGTCTAGGCACATGTACAGTAGATATGAGAGCAGGATGTGTTGTCACAAAGTGGACAACAGTCATTGCTGACATTGAGGAAGATGGTTTCCTAGGAATGGACTTCTTGATGCGACATGACTTTCAATTTTCGGCTAAGAATGGCTTATTCCTAAATGGCAGAAGGGTTCCAACACAGACCAGAGGCACAGAGAAGGTGTATAAAGTACAAGTGGCAACCAGAACTATAGTTCCTGCAGGGGGATATGCCCTGATCCAAGGCCGAGTTGGTGCAAAAGAAAAAGAAACAACAAGTCATGAAATGGCACTCATCGAAGAAGCTCCACACGTCAGCGAGGTTTATGGACTTCAGCTGCCAGACACTTGTGTTAGGGTTGAGTCAAATATGTCAACCCCGTTCCTCATCATGAATCCTACAAGCCTGGATGTGACGGTGAACAAGGGTGCACACATCGCTAACATCCAGTTTGATGCTGAACTGATCCCATGTTCCCAATCGAAACCCTCATACAACACATATCCCCAGAGCAATAAGCCGTCAGCGAATCAAAGCCAGGCTTGTTCGGCGACACCCAGATTACAAGCAGAGCGACCGCCTAGAATCTCCAACGAACTCCAAGTCAAACTCCAGGACTTGCTTCGCAGAACAGTGACAACTGCAAACCTAAACGACGACCAGGCTGAAAGATTGAGGAAGTTGTTGTACCAGCATCATCAAGTTTTTTCTGCAACAAACACAGATTTAGGGCGCACACGTATCTTAAAGCATGAAATAGATACTGGAGACCATCCACCAATAAAAATTCAAACAAGAAGAGTGCCCAAAGCTTTCCAGCCGTACGAAGACCAACTTATCCAGCAACTGTTAGATGCCGATGTCATTAGACCATCAAACAGCCCGTGGAATTTGCCCGCAGTGTTCTGCAGAAAAAAATCAGGTGAATGGCGAATCTGTTTCGACGCCAGAGCTATAAACAAAATTACCAAAAAGGACGCTTTCCCCTTACCACGCATTGATGAGTGTCTCGACCAACTGGCAGGTACTAAGTTCTACAGCACACTGGACTTGAACCAGGCATATTTCCAAGTTGAACTGGATGAATTTTCAAAAGAAAAAGCATCGTTTTCCACTCCCAGTGGACATTGGTCCTACCAAGTTCTACCAATGGGACTGGCAAACAGTGTGGCTACTTTTTGTCGACTGATAACAGAGGTGTTCAAAGGAATTCTGTTCAAAAAGGTCATCGCTTATTTAGATGACATTCTGGTACCTGGGACTTCGTTCGAGCAAAGCATCGACAACCTCAACGAAGTGTTCTCTAGATTGTTTTCCGCTGGATTAAAGCTGAAACCAGAAAAATGTGAACTGCTGCAAAAAGAGGTTAACTTTCTAGGGTTCACCCTGACAGAAAATGGTATCAAAACAAACAAAGACAAGGTTGAATGTATTGTCAACTGGAATCGTCCTCAATGTGTGACAGATGTTAGAGCTTTTCTTGGCATCACCGGATTTTACCGGAAGTGGATTCGAAATTATTCATCAATAGCGGCACCGTTAAACCGACTCTTGGAGAAAAACAGTAACTTTGAATGGACACCCGACTGTCAAGATGCTTTTGAAACATTAAAGCAAAAGTTAACTTCAGACGAGATATTGGCGTTTCCCAGGGACGAGGGCATGTTTATTCTGGACACCGATGCAAGCGGAACAGGTGTCGGGGCTGTATTAAGTCAACTACAATGGGATGAGAACTTACAGCAGGAAATCGAACGACCTATTGCATATGCAAGCCGGTCCCTCAGTAAGGCTGAACGCAAGTATTGTGTGACTAGACGGGAACTGTTGGCAGCAGTCGCCTTTACAACTCACTTCAAGCACTTTTTACTTGGTCAAAAGTTTTTACTAAGGACAGACCATTCTTCTCTACGGTGGCTCTTTTCATTTAAAGATCCTAGTGACCAACTTGCTAGATGGTTGGAGATACTGAGCCAGTACAACTTTGACATTGAACATCGAAAAGGGAAAAACCATGCCAACGCCGACGCCCTGTCCAGATCTCAACCAACAGCCTGTTCACAATACGACAAAGACAAACAATTAAAAGATCTGCCGTGTGGGGGTTGTACCTTCTGCACACGTCACCATCGACAGTGGTCCAGTTTCTACAAATTAGATGACGTAGTTCCACTAAACTCACACATGACACATAGAGTCACGCCGGTTGCAGCAATCTTAAAAACTTCTAGCACCGATCAGCCACAGACTCAGTTCTCTTGGCGAGAGGGTTTACAGTTCTCCCAGCAGGAAATTCAGAAGGCTCAAAAGGATGATAATGTTTTGAAGAAGTGTATTACCTGGGTGCAGAACGAGCAGAGACCTGAACAGAGGGAGTTAACCGCAGAAGGCCGGGAACTCCGCTATTACTGGCTGAATTTTAACAGACTGACACTTGCAGATGGCATATTATGCTGGAAGTGGGTGACAAAAGAACGGAAGACAGAACTAAAGGTGATAGTGCCACATCTCCTAATGTCTAAGGTTCTAGAAAAGTGTCACGATGACAAGGGTGCTGGACATTTCGGCATTCAAAACACCTTATCAAGGGTACAACAACAGTTTTTTTGGTTCAGAATGAAACATGAAGTTACAAACTGGGTGAACTGCTGTGAGAGATGCCAGATTAGAAAACCGCCAACTAAGAAGCCTAAAGCACCACTGCTACCATTCTATTCTAACACTCCTATGGAAGAAATTTGTATGGACATTGCAGGACCATTCCCTGTCTCAAATCGAGGGAATAGGTACATCTTGGTGGTTATATGCAAATTTACGAGATTCGCTGAGTGCTATGCCATACCGGACACAAGTGCCTCTACGGTAGCAGATAAAGTGGTCAATGAATTTATGGCTCGATATGGTATCCCATGGAACATCTTAACAGACCAGGGAACTAATTTTGAATCAACACTTTTGCATGAAGTATGTCGCCTGTTGGAGATAAAGAAAAAAAAGACAAGCAGCTACAGACCTCAAACAAATGGTCTAGTCGAAAACATGAACAAAACAATTACACGGATGATAGCTGCGTACATTAATAGCAACCAAACAACATGGTGCTCCCATTTACCATGGATTATGGCAGCCTACAGATCACACAGGCACCCAAGCACCGGCTACTCTCCCAATTACTTAATGTTTGGCAGAGAGTGCAACACGCCTGCACATCTGGCATTCGGAACACCATCTCCTATACAGGAGGAAGGCACGCCATCCGAATACGTCCATCAACTAGACCGTCAACTCAGACAGGCATACGAGCATGCACGCCAACAACTCAAGTCGACTGGTGAGAGAAACAAAAGAGACTACGATCTCAACATCATCTACAATAACTACAATGTTGGAGATGTAGTGTTGTGTCTGGAGGAGGCGAGGAAAGTAGGCGTGAGTAGGAAGCTTGCTCCCAGACACTGGAAAGGTCCATACGTCATAAGAAGAAAACTAAGTGACCTTCTCTTTGAGATAGAGAACAAGGACAAAAAGACAAAAGTCGTGCACCACGACAAATTAAAACCATTTCACCAACGGGAACCAACGAAATGGATCGTTGACTTACAACTCAAACTTCATCACGATGGTGGTTCACCTCCACTGTCGGAATACTCAACGGACGATGAGACGGGCGACGAAGGTCAAGACACAGAGAATCAGCTGTCGGAGAGAGGAAATGATCACGGGGCTGATGAAACAAGCCCAAAACTAACTATTACTACACACAACGACGCAAGGGAAAATACAAGACCCCGACGAGAAATCAAACGACCTCGTCGACTGTTGGATTAACAAAATAGAGCCTGTTAAATTGATAAGTATAGACTGTGTTCTGGATTATTTGGATACCGTGTGAATTCTTAAAATAGTGTTTTGGATTATTAGGATACCGTGTGAATTCTTAAAATAGTGTTCTAAATTACTTAAATATCGTGTGAATTCTTAAATAATGATCTGGATTATTAAGATACCTTGTGAATTTTTTAAAATCGGGTGTTTTCATTACATTCCTGGATGTGAATGTATTGCAACAAAATGTAAGTAGATACTTTAACTTTGTGCTAGGACCAATATAGAAGATTTAGAACCATTACAATTATGCTCATGGTTCGGTCTGTGAACATACCACAGGAACATTGAAATTATAAGATGTACAGATCTAACCAGAAGGAACGTAGACATTACAAATGCAAAACAAGACTGTATAATAACTTCATGTTAATCGATATTACAATGGAGCCAGTTTCTGATTGTTTTTTTGTTTAATTTGAACATTATGTTGCCTTTTGATAATTATAATGGATGTTTATGATGTATCACATTTATGAAGATGTGATTTAAGATGTTGAATATACAAAACCTTTAATAAATTAAATCAATTTTGAGGACAAAATTCTTAACTTTGGTAGGGTCAAATGTAGTGAATTTGTTAGAAATCAGTCAATTGTGCTTAGTAGGGCAAGAAGAAAAATTCATATCTTAATAAATAGTTGTTATTCTAGCATGAAAATTGGATGAACTATTAGGCCAAGCTTGATCTTTAATTAGAATATCTTAGTGTTAGTTAGGAGCAATCCGATATTATTGAAATCTACTTTAATTAGGTGTATTTGATTATATGTTTACAATATTTGCATGCTTGAAGTATTATTGTTGAAGAACAACTTATTGATGTTTATTGTAATTGGTATCATTGTAAAGGGAATTGTCTGTGGTTTCAGAGGATAAGCTTATTAGAATTTTAGGAGATCGCGTTAAGTTTTTATATAGGGTTATTTGGGGTCGGTTAGCACAAAAGCGGGGGAAATTTTCACAGGTAAGCGTTAGAATTCGTGCCAAGAGCAAGGTGTCATCCGAGACGCTCGCGGGTGGGGTATATAAGCCGGTGCGTTAGCCTTAGAGGGGATGGAGAAACGACGGCCCTAGCCAGTAATTTATGCAGCACACGTATTGGCGCTATAGTCTTGTTAGATGCGCGCTACACAGACAATTCCCGCTCAAGAAAGATAGTCAAATAAAGATTTGCAGAAGACGGCTTATTCTTCATTCTTGATCGTCTGTGACTGTGACTGAGAGTGAGAAATAGAAGAGAAGAAGAACGTTACAATTGATAGAAGCAAGAATATTACAATAGAACAGTACATTTGAGAGTAGTAAAAACGTTACAATAGCTTATATTCACCCCCCCCCCCCCCCCCGCTCGTTTTCACATTAGAGTTTTAAAAGGTCAACGAGTCTACACGAACACGTGATGTTGGGAATGTTAATGTCATTATCTCTGTGCTGGGGAAAAAAAAGCAAACGGATAATTAAACATAATTAAGTTAGTTCGTTAACTAAATTGTGCTGAAGAAACATTTTATGATATTGTGTGAAACTTTTAGATAAGTTCCTCTTTAGACTAACCGATTCATTGGGCGCTCTACAGTTCGGCCTCTTCGTCTCAGAGATTCTAACATACGAGAATTTTAAAAATATTATACTGAAAATTATGTTGATTTTAACGTTTGAGGATCAGTTTCTCCCAGGCATCTCTTCGGGGGGGGGGGCTGAGCTCGAAGAAAGTCTACCGCCCCCCCCCCCTCCTACTCCCTCCCCGGAACGAAATAGAATTTATTATAGAAAACATACTTTTACCAGTGTCCACCCCCCCCCGGAAAATTTTTCCGCCCCCCCCCGGAAGAATCAAGTGCCCCCCCCCTCTCCCGGAGAAAAAAGTCTGGATAAAACACTACACGTGATTGTCTACCCACAGGATGCTGTAACCGGCCCAGGGTCGCTGACAAGCTACGCCTATGCGAATGACGACGGCGCAGGCCGGGATGCCCGGATGTGTATATGGTACAACACCGGCAATGACACGACTGGGGCTCTGTCGAGGTCCAAAAAGATCGCAAATACGGCGTCAAAGGTAAGATTTTCCCTTGCTGCGGGGGTTAAAGTAAATTAATAACGCCAGTTGCAAAATAAAAAAAAAATAATAAAAAACGGGAGCTGAAAATACCGGCAAAGTAAGAATTTTTAAGTGATCTGATTTAGTGTGTAAACCAAGATCTTCACTTTAAAAGTACGCCCCAACTTTAGCCCCCCCTCCGCCCGTCCACCCCACAACCTATGAACCCACACAACATCTGAACCCATACATACTTAGAACCCCAGAAGCACATTTTGCCCCATCACTTTTGTGCACTCGCCACTTTTAAACTCCCAACACTTTTAAACCTACTCCAAGCAACTTTATGCATAGCTTCTAAGGCTACACAGCTCCTAAACCCACCCACTTAACCCCACATTTTCTGACCCCACACAACTTCTAACCCACACATTTTCTGAACCCACACAACTTCTAACCCACATTTTCTAAACCCACACAACTTCTAACCTACACATTTTCTGAACCCACACAACTTCTAACCCACATTTTCTAAACCCACACAACTTCTAACCTACACATTTTCTGAACCCACACAACTTCTAACCCATACATTTTCTGACCCCACACAACTTCTAACCCACACATTTTCTGACCCCACACAATTTCTAACCCACACATTTTCCCACACCCGAACAGCTTCTCGGCACCGACTTGTACCACTACCACAGCAAGATCATGATGAAGGACGCCAGGGACGGGGGCAGGTTCGTCTGGCACCAAGACTACGGCTACTGGTACAGCTTCGGCTACCTGTTCCCGGACATGCTGACCGTCTTCATGGCACTCGACCCGTGCGGCAGGGAGAACGGCTGTCTGCAGGTGATCCGTGGCTCACACAGGTGTGGGAGGATTGACCACAGCGTTGTGGGCGACCAGGTGAGTGGGGTACGGAGTGTGGGGGTGGGGGTGTGAGGGTGGGAGTGTGATGGTGGGGGTGTGAGGGTGGGGGTGTGAGGGTGGGGATGTGAGGGTGGGGGTGTGAGGGTGGAAGTGTGGGGGTGGGGGTGGGGGTGTGAGGGTGGGGGTGTGAGGGTGGGAGTGTGATGGTGGGGGTGTGAGGGTGGGGGTTTGTGAGGGTGGGGGTGGGGGGGGGGGGGGGTTGAGAGTTATTAGTTGTCAATTACCTTGTAAAAACTTAAAACCGATTTATAGTATCAAAGGTAATACTTACTCTAACTACATTCTAGTTTACTTTTAGGTCAGCACAGTAGGTGTATGATGGGATGGGTGGCTTAGCGGTAGAGCGCTAGACTGCTAACTTAAAAGTCTCGAGTTCGAATCCAGGTTTAAGTCAGTAGAACGCCATGAGTCCACCCAGCTCTGATGGGTACCGAACTCACGTTACGGAAAAAAAAAAGCGGCTAGACGGTGCTGACCATACTATCCCTTCATATGCCGAGGCAACAGAAGCAGGTGAACTCAACTTCATTTTCAGGGTACAGCAGGTGTTTATGGAATAATTAGAAACTGTAATGATTTTACTTATAGGAAAAAAATGTTTCTCAAAGTTCAAGCTAACTGCGGTTAACGGACCTGAAATGCTGATAGTTAAGATGTATCCTTTTGATAACGATCACCATAAAAAAAAGCGCAACGGAAAAGCGCAACGGAAAAAAATGAATCTTTGATTTATCAATAACATTAAAAAATCCACTTTGTGTGGTAGTTAGGGTTAATATTTCTTCTCTTCTGGCAACCATAACAGTACAATTTTTGTGACCGAAAAAGTGGCCAGATTTTTTAAAAAGCTACATCCAAATTTAAAATCTAGAAAGTCGCTGACCTCGAGCGAGTCGCCCAACTGGAGAAAAGACTGGAGACCCTACACGTGGAGCTGAAGGCTGGCGACGCCATCTTCTTCCACAGCAACCTCCTGCACTCCAGCAGTAGCAACACCAGCGAACAGCGGCGCTGGGCCATCGCCTCTGCTTACAACAGCGTCCACAACGTCCCGGACAAAGACGAGGTCATTTGAAGTTTATTCTTATGAGGAGTTAGAGGCGTAGCGACTCTTCCCGGCGCCCGGGGACAAACTTTCAATTTGACGCCCCCTCCCCTCAAACTTTCGATTTGACGCCCCCCTCCCCTCAAACTTTCGATTTGCACCCCCCCTCCCCCTCAAACTATTTATCATGCAAAATGCAGCTAAAATAACATTTTAATTTGGTTTCACAACCCATTTTGGTGCCCCCTAAGGTCGGCGCCCGGGGACATATGTACCCCCCCCCCATCGCTACGCCTCTGTGAGGAGTCCACTTGCAAAAAAACGCTAAGTCACTTCTGGTTGTTTTGGGGGACATTTTTTTCATTTTTTTTTTTTTTTTTGTTAACTGTTCTAAGGATTTTCAAAATTGTACTAGATCTATAACATAATTTATTTTAAAGTATAACTTTTAGAACAAAAGTTAGTATAACTGCTTTAATTGCCACTTAATTAAGAAGGCTATCAGAGTAACTCATTTTTTTTTTCAAAAAAGGGACTTAGCAGGTTTTGCAAGTGGCCTCCATTTTGTTAAATTCGAACGTATTTTAGATTATGTGATTATATTATGGGATGCTGTGATCGAAAGGATAGTATACGATTGTCTAGAGCTAATGAGAAAGTCTCGTTCGGAACTTGTTGGAGTCTGTATGACTAATGAGCAAAAGGTTGGGCCTCTACTAACTGTAGATTGAAGCGCGAGTTTACGATGGCAAAGAAAAAAAAAGTTTTAGGTTCGTTGTTCAAGTTAGTATGACCATCTAGCTCTGATGGGTACTTGACTTGACTCTGTAGAACATTCATGTGTCTTTCAGCTCTGATGGTGTCTGACTCGTCTGTAGATATACCGTGTCACTGCTACCTTCAGTTCTGTGCACTTCATGACATTAAAATATAACGCATGTTTTAGTCATCACCTCAATGGAATTACAAAGGAAATGAGGAATAGCGTGGGAAAATAAACCCTTGCAATTCTGTCAATTACGGTGTGATCTACTGCAACTATACCGTAATGCGTTATCTTTAAATTGTCGTCATGGACTCGATGGTCTTTTAAAATGTAAATTCATACAAAAGGGGAGGTAAGGGGTTCAGACTTTTTGTCTGTGTCTACCTGAAGATGGAATGTGGCGGTTGTTAGGAAATGTGACTTAGCAAATACTTTTTCTAAGAGAAAAAAAACGGGGAGGAGGGGAGGGGGGGGGGGGTAATGTTATAGACCATTATGAACTTTTTTTGTGATGTGTCACATTAGAGGAGCAGTATTTGTTATCATCTTCAAATATTGCATAACCTTTACATCATGATGAACGTGCCCTAATGTTGTCTTTGTACTGATCAGATGGTCGGCAAACAGTGCCGGGGACCTATCCAGCAGTTGGACAACGAAGCTGTCGTTAAGACTGGAGTCAACAGAGACTTGAGCGGAAAGGAGGTCAAGGTCAAGAGGGGCGCCATGTTCGAGTTCGAGACTTTCTTCCCGGCGTAATGGAAAGAAAAAAAAAGAAGAAATAATATTAACAAGGGAGGTCACTGTTGAATTGTTTGTTTTACATTTATAATCTCCCTTTTTGCAACGCTCTGACACTTTTTTGTTGCAATTTGAATTACAATGACATAGATAAACTGCCTAGATGTGATTATTTTATGTCGAGCTTTAAGATCACATATAGATGAATTATATTACTTGTAAATGTTTCTCTATTCGCTTTAAGAAATTAGTCTTTTTTTCACCATTTCAAGGATTATTTCCCTTATTAAATATTTAGTGTGGTTTGTTGTGATGTGTCTTTCAATCAATCATCTTTCACAATGTGAAATAAAGGCCGATCTGGATGATGTCTAGGACAGGGGTCGGCAACCTGCGGCTCGCGAGCCGCATGCGGCTCTTTTGATATCAAGATGCGGCTCTCCAGCTCCTTGCACAAATACTAATAATCTTAATAAAAAAAAAAATATTTGAAATAAAAAAAATGTTAGTGGCTCTTTCAAACCAGGGAAATTTTGAACATTGTAACTTTTGGCCCTTCTGCTTCAAAAGGTTGCCGACCCCTGGTCTAGGAGGATTGTCGCCCCCTCCCCTACCATTACAAAGTTTGAAATTGTTTTTGGGGAAAAAACCTAAGGCAATCGATAGTCAACAAATTTCTTGATCTGCCTATGTGATGTCCTGTAAGTAAAAATTCACAAACTGCCTTAGCCATAACCAGTTTATCCCTTTCCTTAACCTGTGTAATACACTGGTCTGCAGGTTAGTTAACAGGCAAGGCTGGACAAAAAGTTTCTCTTAATGTCCTTGATCAATCTAACTTTTAGGATTAGGCCTAACTCTTTAAAGAGAGGTAACTCAGTTTAAATACTTTTGCTGAATTTGTTTATCAACTGTTATTAACAACTAGAAATTACCTATTATCTAATATTTAATAAAACCTAATTATGTTCATTTAGGTTCTGTTGATTTTTTTCAAAAATATGTCTTTGTATATATCTTGCACTTGTATGTACAATATGACAAATACAAAGTCAGATTTGTATACAAAGGCTAACATTTTTTTGAATGAGATTTCAACAAGACATTGAACCCATCCTCCCAGAGAGCTTCAACTTAGAAACAAGTTAAGTAATTCAGAGTAAGAGCTTAATTAAACTACAATAACTTCAACAGTTACAAAAAAAAACATCAGTTACAGTAAATTCAATACAGAACAAGAAACAGGGCAATGTTTATAAAAAGATCTTTTATTCTGATTAAATATAAAAAAAGATTGAAAATAACTTTTAGCATAAGTAAGCTAAATTATATTTTTAAAATGTATTATACACTGGAACAACACACCGTTCCATGAAAGTATTACAGTAACAAAATAATCTTCTGATTGGTTCGTTGGACTCAATTCCCTATTCAAATAGCAACATATTACATAATCAAGGCTAATATTTACCTACTTCATAAATAAATTGTTACGTTTTCATCATGTCTTTTTAAAAAATTCTGGTCACATGAAAGTGTACTACGAAAGTTATCACATAACACATTATGAAAGAAAGTTCATTTAATAGTAAGATTATGTTGGCTCCTTTAAAATATTTTGTGCTAAAATTTTAATGGATGGAATACTGGTAAATTGTAGAATCACACAAACACTCTCACACACAATGAAGAGATAATTAATGATAAAAGCTTATCTAGTGGTTCTCACACTTGGCTTACAATTTTTAAACTGCTGCAACTATAACATTTCAATATTTCAAAATGACATGATGGACTAATTGCTGATCACCATAAAAAATAGGAGCATGTTTTAGCATGAAATCTGTTTCTTAGCAACATTAAATAAAATAGTTTAAAAAATAAAGTACTTTCTGATGGAGATTAGAAACATGAAACTGACATTTTTCAAGTATTATAAAAAAAATTAAAAAATAAAACATTTATTTTTATTTATTTTAAATTTACTCTTATCAAAACTTTTAGCACAAATTTTGTTACAACAGGATTTTTTTAACACAATAAGAAAAAAAATCTCTTCACCCTGTAACTTTAATATACCAATGTAGCCTATACCTGCCAGTTCAGATCAATTCTGCATTTCTGTACATTGTTATAATATAACAAACCAGACCTCCAAACTCACAAAGTATGGTTATAAAATTGTTGGAGGGATTAGCATTATTGCAGGATTTATGATACTACTGTTTGGGTCATGGGGAGTAGGAAAGGGGTCAAGGTTAGGGTCTATTTTCTTATAGCTTTAAGAAAGGGGATTATTTATGATTGAATGCACCTGAACAGGAATTGTGGTTGGGGGTCTGACTTGTTGGTGTTTAGGGGTGGGGGATTTAAACATATGCAGCATAGCATACATGCTAGATTGCTTTAAAAAAAATTAAATACCTAAAAATATTAATTTAAATTATAGTAATTTCATAAAATCAAAGTGGAGTATTGCAATATTGCTATATGGGTTTCTAATGGGTTTTTTTGTGACATGAAATTATAAAGCATGGGAAGGGGGGGGGGTGTAAAATTTTATAACATCAATCACAGATGACCCTGCCAGAGAAACATTAAACAAAATTGGTGAACTCAAACCAACTAGCAATCAGCAGTTGGGGAATATTAATTTTTTGTAGTTACTGTAGTAGGTAGGTTTTTAAGGTCCATTGATTTTAACAATCAATGTTAATGTCATAGCGTAGATAAATAGAATAAGACTAGACTGGTAGAGACTAATAAGGTCAGTGTAAACTTGACGATAGATGATTTGGTTCGAGAGTATGTGTGTGTGTTTAATAAAATATTTGTGGCGTGAGTGTGACTTGAGTGTGACACAACCATGTACCGATGACGTAGGACACAGGAGTGAAGACAGTCGGGGGTTAGCCATTGTAGGAAAAGAACGTGTTTTAATATTGTGTAGTATTAGTATTTGATAATAAAGTTAATTCTATTTTATGATCAAAATTGTTTATATCGTTAACTTAGTGTCGTCGGAAAATAAGAGTGTTCCCGTCCTCATCACATGTTTATTGTTGGAGTGTTAGTTATAGGAGTAGTCATCTTATAGATTCATATAGCAACGTAAACATTTCCACCCCCCATCACATAGTGACATATTGATAATGTCAAGCAATAAAGTCTTATATGTGGTTAGTGTGGCTTAACAGATCACAGCTTCATTCTTTCTGAGTAGGCAAATAAAGTGATAGTAGGCAATATAAAGTGATAGTAGGCAAATAAAGTGATAGTAGGCAATATAAAGTAATAGTAGGCAATATAAAGTGATAGTAGGCAAATAAAGTGATAGTAGGCAAATAAAGTGATAGTAGGCAAATAAAGTGATAGTAGGCAAATAAAGTGATAGTAGGCAATACAAAGTGACAAAGAAGGCAAATAAATTGACAGAGCAGGCTAAACAAAGTGATTGAGAAGGCAAAAATAAAATAACAGAAAAGGCGAAAAGTGACAAAAATTGTCATTTTCAAAATGATGTATAGAATTTTCAAACTTTGTGGTGATAAAAAAATATTATTTTACTAAACTTAAACAGTCACACCTTCAAACTAAGGAAAACTGAACGCTTGCAGAAATACAATGGTTTTTTAAAAGGTTTATGTTTTATAGATTTAGCAACAATCTTCTAGTGCGAAAAATCAGATTTGCAACATTTTCAAAATGTGCAAGTGGTAAAAAAAAACCTTGGTCTATGCTATCCAAAATTTAGTTACAAAGAAAAGCTATAATAAAAAATCTGCTATATCAGCTACCATAAAAGATGTTTTTGTTTCCAAGAACAAAATAGACAATGTACAGAAATAACAAAAATACTCAACTCCTTTTTTAAATGGGGGGGGGGGGGGCATCTTCTGGTCAAAATGGTTACACCCAATCAGTGGTGATGTGTGATGTGGAGTTGATCCCTTCAAGAATCACAAATTGGTTCCTATCAAAAACTTGTTTTCTGTACTCTCTGTCTCAATATGGCATGATAAAATAGAGATCCAATGTTAAGTATCATTTTCTCACAATGCTATGGGACTCACTTTGGCCAAAAGTCATAAAAAAAAATATCACATGATGCAATTAATAGTAAAGTTCCCTTTTCAAACCTGACGGTCTATAGGGCAAGTGAAGTAGAGTTCACTTGTTCCTATGATCTCGGCATATGAAGAGATAGTGTGGTCAGCACTATGCCCAGCCGCCTTTACTTTCCCTAAGGTACCCATCATAGTTGGGTGAACTCAGGAACGGTCTACGGACTTGAACCGGGATTCGCACTCGAGACTTACGGGTTAGCAGTCCAGCTCTCTACCACTAGACCACTCCAACCCCTACATGATGCAATTAATAGACTTTAAAATGTATAAAAATGAAGTGCTCAAACTTTTAAGAAAACTGTACACATACTATTCTGTGTTATATTTAACATGGTAATATTGATAACAATTAACGGACTTTAAAAATGTATGACAATAATGTGATTAAAGGAAATCGTACACATCATTATTATGTGTTTGATTTAACATGGTAAAGTTGATAACAGTGTTCATTGCTTCTCAGGAAAGGAAAATGTACAAGTCTGACTTCTACTTGCATGAGTATCACAGCACTCAAAGATTTACACACAATATTCATTTAAATTAGTTAATTTCAATTCTCCATTAAATCTATTGCTTACACATTTATAAGCTGTGAGAAAACTGTTGCAGTTGTGCTAAGTCCTAACACAAAAGTAGTCTTTAGAGTAGATTTTCCTATTGCTAGTATTAGTTTTAGACAATTGAAAAGTACACAAAAAAGAGAAATTTAAAAAATAAACCTCAAAAAAAAAATCAGAATAAACCAACTGTATTCCTATTTTTAATTTTGCATAAGAGATATACAAAGCTTACAGCATTAGCTATATTTAGTACCTGTTGTTTTTTGTTCATATAGGCCTTCTCTTGCGGATTTATTAAAGACTTTTAATAATACAGCATTGTTGCTTTTTTTTAAAAATATTTTTAATTAAAATACAAAACAAATAATTTATTGATAAAGATGTACCTAAAATAAAAACAGTATTTTGTACACAACTGTAAGTGTATCTTTATCACTTCTAGATGTACCACTACATAAATAAAAAAAGTAATGTTTGACAACTCATGTCAGGAATATAGAGAGCTCCTCTGTAGACCGTTGGGGAGATGAAGTAGAGTTCATATGTTTCTTGACCTCTGCATATCAAGGGATGGTGTGGTCAGCATTATACCCAGCCACACTTATTTCCTCAACGTAAGACAGGTATCAATCAAAGCTGGGTGGACTCAGGGACATCCTACAGTCACAAAGGCCGAACCAAGATCCAAACTCCAGACCTTCTAGGTGGTAGCCAAGCGCTCTACAATTTGACCACACCATCCAATATGTCTAGTAAATAGCTTGTTTATATTTTCAAAAAGTGAGACACAGATAAAGCTATTATATAAAGATATTAATATTAATTAAAGTTAATATATTATTTATCTTGTAAACATAAATGCAAGCTCAACAAAAATACAAAAAATTAATCTTGATTTGTTCAATTCAAGATGCCTTTATAAGAAGGAATAATTATTGCATATATATAATATAGTTTGCTTAAACATATATAAGTATAAGGAAGAATCTTTAAAGTGTTAAAATATCAGTTTCAGTTTTATAAACAGTGGATTGTTTAAACATTTAAAATGTAAAGAATTTAAATGTATTCAAAATAACAAAAAAAACAAAAGTGTTATATACAAATATTTGACAGATAAGTGTGATCAGAGAAAAAAGACTGGGATCAGAGAGAATTTCTTTAAATAGGCAGAACAGTTCATCACACAAGCACTCAAAAAAAAAAAACACAAGTGTGCTCATATAGATCACAAGGACATTTTTAAAAGATGTATCTTAATTCCAAAGAATACAAATAATGTGTACTTTTTAAATTTGTATCTGAATTGATTGAGTGAATTTAATGAAATTTTTTTAAAAACAAAATACATGAAAGCAACACAGCCAGCGTGCTTAGCTAGAAAAAAAGAAAGGTAGCATCACAAGAAGGAGCAGACCACGCAGGGTGACACCCAAAATAGTGACGCCACAGAGAAAAAACAGTAACAAATTGCATCCAAGTCATTGACTTAAGAAATAAATATCACTTGTGCTGGCTGAGGAAGTGAGCAGTAAAATCATATTTGTCAACAAGCAATTTACCACACAGGTTGCAGCATCGGACATCCATTTTATCGTGCATGCTTCGATGAAGATAATACATCGCGGGGTCGTGGAAGACGATGCAACAAAAATCACATGATTTGACATCATCCCTGGTCATTAGATGATGTAAGATATCCTCAGCTGTAAAATCCACTAAGGATATCCGATTATTTGTGCGGACCAGTCCTGACATGGTTAATCCGGGATTCTTTGTAGTGGAATGTTGCGTCCGACTATTTATGATATTATTGTTGATGGATATAGTTTTAGAAGACCCTAACAGAAAACTAGGATTCTGTAGCTCATGAAGTTCAGATATATTATCTGGTAGCATGTTCAAATAGTCTTTGTTATTGGTAACTCTCTCATCATCTTGCATATCTGCTTCAGAGCTGTTATTAACATCTTCATTTTCATCATCTAAACTCCCTAACCTTCTTACAAACTCTGGCTTTCGTCGTTTCCTTCCCACCTCTACTTCCTTAACTTTATCAGTGCCACTGACATCATCAATAACACCCTTCACTAAATCTTCTTCAATACTATCAACTGGTTCATTCTTCACATCTAGAGCTGTGATGCCTTTTAATTTCAGTTCCATTAACTGCGCTGCTGCATCTAAAGACTCCTGGTTTGTTCCGATTAAACTTTTTGTGGAGCCAGAATCAATGAGTCCAACCATTGATACATTTTTTAACATGTTGCCCTTTAAACTAGATGGCAATGCTCTCCCCTCTTTCACCACGTGTTGTAGAATATGTGCTTCCAAACGAGGTCTCCGGCAAAACCCCATGTTACAATAATTACAGAAAAATGGTTTTTCCCCAGTGTGGACTCGTTTATGAACAGTAAGGTGTGAGGACTGGGCAAACCTTTTATGGCATATGTGGCATGCATATGGTTTCTCTCCTGTATGGGTGCGCTTGTGAATAATAAGATGTGCTTTCTGTGTAAATCTTTTATTACACACTTGGCAAGCAAAAGGTCTGTCTCTTGATGTGAGAGTGTTTATATCATCAGCTGTTCCACAAGAATTTGATGTTGTTTCCTCTTTATTGTCTTGAGGAAAATACTCAGCTGACTTTGAGTTAAAACTCATAGCGCTCCGTTGCAGTGTTCTGTGGTTTCAGAAGTAACGAAATGTCCTTTTTATGAAAGCTAAAAAATGATTAAAAGAAATAAGAGACATTTATTAGATATAGTCTAGCAAATGGAAGATAAAATATTATTGAAATTAAATTTTTCATGAAATAACTTTTGATCTACTACTACAGCTACCTATGATATATGTTGTAGGGTTCATCGTCATCTTTTCCTGTTCGTGCCTAATACAAATTGCTCTACCATTTGACCACATCATCCCCTATTGTGAGCTTAGCCACGCAATCATAATTGAAAAGAAAAATACGTCCCCCGTGACAAAATTAGACTTAAGTGGCACATTCAACATGAAGGCTTAAATATTAAATAATGGCAAAAACCTACCGCTTTAAAACTAAAGATTATTGGTCAAAGGGGAAAAACTCAAGTATTTATTGTAAGCATATAATTACTTGAGTTATCTTCCGTGTAAAATAGTCAACCTTATATACAATGTAAAACTTTCAAAATAACAGCAATTTTATTGCATGAACCATGTTATGATGCACAATTTCTAATATTGTTTTTTTTTAAAATAGTATTACAATAGACTATAGATCTAGATCTAACTTTAGAAGGCGCTAACAAAAACCTTAAAAAAAAACTGCAAACGAAAATGAATACAGTTAATAGCAGTATAAAACTCAGATGCACAACACGGCTCAGTGACCTAATTTTCATTGCCGTGCTATCCTGCTGCGTCAATATTGTCATTCCTCGACATCGACGGCCTTCGGCTATTTGCATTCATCGCTCGATTGATATTATATAAAAATAAAAGCATCAGAAATGTAATATTCAACTAACCTTCTACTTATGTCTGTGTTGTTTTATTTAACCTGACTTAGACTTCAACATCGCTTTTTCCCTAGTATTATCTTTCACGTCGGTCATTGTCGTCGCCTAATCGACGAGACAGGCCATCTAGCGTCGAAAAGGGTACATAATCCGCGACGATGAAAATGTAGACGTTAGTTCGTGAAATATTATTATGTAAGCTTTGGTATACCTAGGGCATGGTCGATCAATTAAACTATATGAGCCATTTTTTTAACAGAACATTGCATTGTTATAAAAATAGCGTTTATTGGCTTGTAGGCTAGATCTAGATTCTATTTATTTATTCAAACTTTACGAAATCAATTTTAAAACACAGAACCTAATAGTAATAAACATTGCATATAGACTAGACCCTAATTTGGCTACGGTTAACGTAAATTAATAAATTAATTGTTGTAATGCATTTGACACATTACACTATAGCCAAGAGGTATACACATGTATTAAAGTTTGCACAATCTAAAACGTTATTTAAAAATGCAACAATAGGCGTATCTACACTTATTTTTTATTTTATTTTTTTAAAAAAAACGATCTCGAGGCCTACGATGTGTTTACTTAAATTTTTTGTTTTACATTTCAGCAGCACCAAACCGAGACCAAACTTATTTCCTCAGTTTGAAAATCATCCTCTATATCACCCTTGCTCAAATTATTAGGCTGCACCTCATCCAGTGGCGGAACTAGAACAAAAGGGCCACCCCGCAAAAAATATTTTTAGCCCCCCCCCCCCCCCGTAAAATAAAATAATTTAAATATAGGCTTATATACGTATATATATATATATATATATATATATATATATATATATATATATATATATATATATATATATATATATATATATATATATATATATATATACATATATATGTATATATGTATATATATATATATATATATATGTATATATATATATATATATATATATATATATATATATATATATATATATATATATATATATATATATATATATATATATATATATATATATATATATATATATATATATAGATGTAACTAGGGTAGTTACCATACTATGGTTAACAACGTATTACAGTCTGATGCAACTGATAACGATCATAAAGCCACGGCGTATTTTGGGAAGGATACGACAAGCCGCTGTCAACTTTGACACGACTTGGCTGACGTAACAGTGCAGGTGTTCTATTAATCGGACTGATGAGACAACTGCGTAGTAATCGGAAGGCGAGATATTCGGATTGAACATAACTATGATAGAACCGAATACGATTACGAATACGAAGGGATATATAGGAAGGCGAGGGCTGAGAACGAGGAGGAGAGTGGCAGTATCAAGTTGGTTACTGAACGTTGTAGACGTATTGTGTTAATAGGGACGATAGACATGTGCATTCGGTTATGTGAAGACTAGTGAGGACGGTTGGGGGTCAGTTGATTCATTATATTATTGTGAAGCATTTCTTTTTGATTCATGTAATAAAAGGATCAATGGTAAACCTGCATCTTCGAGTATCTATATTGTGGTCGATGTTGTGTAGACTGAGTAAATACACTCGTTAACATTTGGCACTACAAGCAAATAGACTCGTTACATTTGGCGTTGTCGAGCAGAAGATGCAACTAGACTCGGTTACATTTGGCGTCGTCGGCAGGATGATTCAATTAGACCAGCCGCTAGGGCACCCATAGTCAACCTAGTTCATAACTGTGTTTAGTGTGTGTGTGAATTCGGACATTCAGGAACAGTGAAAATTGAGGAACGAGGAAAATTATTCATACACACACGGTAAGAAAGGTCTTTTTTTTTTATTTGAAGGAAATAAATAAAAGGGAAAACTGAAATCAGAATCGAGGAAATTGAAAAGAACAGAGATGAGACACCTTTCATTATCATTCTGGCTTGGTGTCACATGCTCTTTTGCTGCTGCAAGCATGTGGCTCAGTATACCCCTAGTTGTAGCACCAGCCACCCTGGGGACAGCTATGGGGCTGACCACCAGCATCCAGATAATTGGCATTGGTATCTCCAACTTGGTTGTGGGACAAATACTAGGCAAAGATGACAACCAAGATATAGATGTAACTCTTAGACACTGGAAATGTGTCATGATCTCCCTTTTGGGCAACACTATCTGCTGCATGGCTGCAACATTTTTCCTTAATGTGAATGACAGACGCAGGAGTGGTATTTTAAATATCAGAAAAGAGCAAAAACTCCTGCTGGCCCAACAATCTGAGTCAGATAAAGATAGCCCAGAGATAGGCAACGGTGAAGATGACCCTTTGCCTCCAGATGGACCAGGACAAAATTTGGACAAAAAGCCGATCCATATTGTGGTCCTGCCCAGTGAGTCCCACATCAACAAATTTTACGGGGACGGTGATCCAACCTTAACCAACAGGTTCAGTGAAGAGGTCAGGGCTGCCTGGGCCTCGAGATACATGTCACCAGAGGAAAGATTAAGATTGTTGATGGGCAGTATAGGAGAGACGGTTAGGGCAGAGGTCAAATGCCACGATAAAACCATCCAAACAGATCCAGATAGGGTGCTGGATCTAATTATGGAGACCTTTGGGGAGAGACGGTCGGGATCGCAACTGCTATCGGTGTTTGTAGGTATAAAGCAGAGACTGGCGGAGAGTGTGATGGAATATTCACACCGAATGAACAGGGCCTTTGAAGCTGTAAAAGGCAAAATACCCGACATGGATGCGCGCCTGCTGAGGGACCATTTCATCGAGGGGCTGGCGACCCCTATGGTAAGGAGAGAGTTGAAAGAAGAGGTCTACAAAGACCCACAGTTGACCTTCCTTCAGGTCAGGAACTCAGCGATCCGCAGGTCCGAGGATGAGGACCAATCGAACTGTTCGGTAGACAAAGTCTCTGTGCCGGAACAGAAACAATCCCCACCCACAGGGACCGGCACGATGGAAACCATGATGGCTCAACTGTTGGCCCACCTGGATAAGGTTGACCAACGATTGGAGAGGTTAGAAAGCAGGTCAACAGCTGAGAATCAGGGCAAAAACGGGACAAAACAGAGACAGGTTGGACAGCCGCGACCTGCCGGTCCATCGCTCCGGTGGACGGCTGACGGTCGACCAATTTGCTTGTCCTGCTCACAACCCGGACATATGGCACGGTACTGTCCGGTGAAACGATCGCCCTCTGTAAGGCAGGTCAAGGCTACAGAGCGGCGAGGTTATGGCGTAAGAAACAAAATGGGACAAACAATGAAAGAGTCTCAAACAAGACTCGAAGAGAAATTATCAGATATTGAAAAAATGAACTGTGAAATGAACTTGGATGTTAAAAAGTTTCAAGTGAACAATTTGTTGGCTGAGAAAAATGATGATAAGGAAGAAATTGGTAGACTTAATAATGAGATATCAATGTTAACCATGAAACTGGATAGGGAAAGTTCATGCAAATTAAAAGCACAGGAGAAATGTTCATCTTTAGAGTGTCTGTTATCTGAAGAAGAAAATAGAAAATGTGTACCTGGTTTTGCAAAAATTGCCGCACCGTTGCAGGACTTAGTAAACAAAATGACAAAGAAACACAGTAAGGAGAAAAAGAAAGGCAAAACACAACTGATAGGTGAATTATGGACTGAGGAATGCCTGAACTCGTTTAAGCTACTGAAAAATGCTTTGACAGAGGCGCCGATATTAGGATACGCAGACTTTGACAAGCCATTTCGGCTAGAAATTGACGCCAGCTCTAAAGGTCTGGGAGCTGTGCTATCACAACAACAAGAGCAAGGTTTCAGGGTTATTGCGTATGCCAGTCGAGCTCTGAAGGAATTAGAGAAGAACATGACAAATTACAGCGCCATGAAACTAGAACTTTTGACATTAAAATGGGCTGTGACTGAAAAATTCAGGGACTATCTATTAGGTGCTAAATGTGTGGTATACACTGACAATAACCCCTTGAGTCACCTAAAGACAGCAAAGTTGGGATCCATCGAACAGCGATGGGCAGCAGAATTGGCACTCTTTGACCTAGAGATAAAATATCGCCCGGGGCGGTCCAATGGCAATGCGGACGCTTTATCAAGTAATCCTTACGAGAGACCGGGCGATGAGGAAGAAACGCTGACAGGAATATGTGAGGTCAGAGCGTCAACAGATATCCCTCACGGGGTGCAAGTGATGCAAAACGGGCAGACCGGGGTGGAGCACATATCCACAGAGCCCCGTCATATGGACATCAGTGATTTTAATTGCCTTAATCACAAAGAGATAAGAGATGCCCAGAGAACGGATAGTGGCTTACAGCCGCTGTTGAAATACGTCCAGGAACAAAAATTCCCAAGAAGAAGGGAAAGAGAACAGTTTGGTCGGGAAACAAAGAAACTACTGAGTCAGTGGGACCGTCTCAGTATAAAGGATGGTGTTCTCATGCGGAGAATTCATGACCAAATAGACGGGACAATACACCAGGTGGTGGTGCCTGGACAGTTACGAGAAGAAGTGCTAAGGTTGGCACATGACAGGGCAGGACACCAGGGCCAGGACAGGACGCACAAAATATTACGACGGCGGTGTTACTGGCCCAATATGGAGATGGAGGTCAAACGCCATTGTGAGGCTTGTGTTAGGTGTCAGCATGCGAAAATGCCAGTTGTCAAAATGAGACAGCCGTCAGGACACTTACTGGCGACAAAACCACTAGAGATTGTGGCTATGGACTTTACGTCGTTGGAGCAATCATCGGATGGGACGGAACATGTGTTGGTAATGACTGATGTATTCACCAAATGGACTGTTGCGGTGCCCACACGAGATCAGACTGCCAAAACAGTGGCAAAGGTCTTAATAGAACATTGGTTCATCAAATATGGCATACCAAGACAGTTACACTCTGACCAAGGAAGGGCCTTCGAGTCAGAAGTAATTAACCAACTGTGCAGCCACTACGGGATCAACAAATCTAGAACAACCACATTTAATCCGAAAGGAAACGGACAAGGCGAGCGGTTCAACCGCAGCATGCATGATTTGCTGCGTACGCTAGAACCTGAACAGAAAAAACGTTGGCCTGATTTTCTCCCAGAGTTGGTATATCTATACAACTGCACCCCCCATG